AAAATTTGTTGATGCTGGTCACGCCTCTTTTAGAATTGAGATCTCTACAGACTAGCTTTAGGTTTGGCTGAAAGGAACAGGCAATAGATGACTCAATTAATGCAACACGCAACGAAAGTTTTGGCTTTTGCGGCCACAACTTGTGTGCCAAGAGCTAAGCATCGATCAAGCCATGAAATAAACTGAAACTTCTAATAACACTCGCCTGTGTGCAACGGCTAACTCCTGATCTGCGGCCAGTAGTGAAAGTTGCTGCCGAATTCATGGTCAACTCTCGTAAGGAAACCTCCGCACAACAGCCACCTTTAATCAACGGCCAAACGGCCACTTGGGAGTGCAACAATGCCTTATTTTCCCTCTAATAACGGTCAAGAAGGTAACCTTTTCGCAAGGAAATCAAAGTAAATTTAAAAAAATTCGTTTCTACTTAGAAAGTATGTATTTTTGTAAAAACCATTAGCTTTTTCCAGTCTTTTCATGCCCCCTCGCTTGATACATCACAAGTATTTAAAATTACCTGTTAACTTCCGCGATTTATTTATATTCAGTGATGCTGCATGATGTCGTAGATCACAACAACATTGTAAAACAACTGTTTAAAATGCTTTTATCACCCCTCGAATCGTTTCTTGATAGATGACGTTTCTCTTTACTTTGCGCTTTCTATTATCCTCGTCCATAGCAACAAATTGCACCTGACTTTGGAATGTCTGGTTTGCTTGTGGCAATTCTCCCTTGATTGCAGACTGCAGGCTTTAACTTAATGACTTTGAACCACATTCATTGGACGAGAAAGCTGTGAAAAATATTATTTGACCTTTAAGATATGAACACAGGGACGCCAAATCAGTTCTGCCTATTTCCTTAGTCTTTTTTGACGTCACTGCATATTTAAGCTGTTAGAAAAAAAAACTTTTGTCACTTTCAACTGTTCAACAAACGGGCAGTTGCTGTCTGGAGCCATTCTGTGCCTGGAGTGTGATGTTAAAATGATTTATGAACAGAGACAAATTTGCATTTGAATTGGAAAAGCCTGTTGACCGTCTCAGATCACAGTCCTTACCATATCACAGTCAATTTCAACCGATTGTCATTCAACATTTTCAACTGATTTTTGAGTGAATAGATTTTTTAGATTTTATTGCTTGGGAACTGTTATGATTAAAAACGATTTAAGCACGACATTAATCCTTTCGGCGTTTGTTCTGTCTATGCTGTGATACAAGATGATTTTTTTGGCTAAGCCAGTTGACTGAAAAGTATGATTTCTGGTAAATTGTCATGATATTCTCAACTCAAAGCCTAAGCGAAAATTGATTCAGAAAGCTTTGGGACTGCTTTAAATATGACAAAGACGAGTGCAAGAAATATAGGTGGTTTTGCCTATCATTTTCGTTGCTTTGTTCCTAAATTTCTCGACTTCTCACTAAAAGCAGTATATAATGAAAACATTTTTATTTTATATTCTTCTACATAAAACAGTAACCTCACTTTACAGGTAGTTACTATGGGCTAGCCTGGTAACAAGTCTACTAATTTACAAAAGTTTTGATACACAAATAAGATCATAAGAGTTCGTAGTATCTTTAGAAGGAGAGCAGTTCAGGGATATTCCAAGTCTTATTGCGCACATAGAATATGTAATAAGATGTTCGGATAATTATTATTGTAATTATAATAATAATAATAATAATGGAAACTTTTCATTTTGAATTCCTGTTAAAACTACAATTACAAATCTCACTATTACAAAGTAATTTGTAACTGGCTAGCCTGTTTTTACAAAATAAAACTATTACAATCGTAATGAGAAAAGAAAAAAAATGTTAAAAGGGGAGTAGCTCTGGATTAGTCCAAGTTTTGTTTCTACAGCAGAATATATAGTATGTGGTGCGAATGGAGATGCTTGTAAGTTTATTATTATTAATAATAATAATAATAATAATAATAATAATAATAATAATAATAATAATAATAATAATAATTTTGGGTATCTAAATTTCTCTAAAGAATTTATTTAGATTTTCTTAATATTGCAACACATTTATATATCTGAAGCTTGTATGCGTTCCAGTTTTCGTTGGTCTTATTCCTGTTGTAAACATTCTTTAGCTTAGACCGGTACATAACTGCTTTTCGCAGTTCTTTGGTCATGAACGGACCATCATTTGCACGAACATATTTTTTCTTGACTGGAGCATGCTGATAAAGTACTTTTGTCAAGTTTGTGTTTATACAATCAAAGGACACTTTTCCTGATAAATCTTTCATGGTATTACCAATATAATGTTATCGTGCTAAACTTAGTCTAGTCTCTGTATTAAACTATCCTCGGACCTTTCTTGATATAGCCGCCTTTAAGGACTGTCAGAATTATTGTGTGAAAATCAGAATGCCCCGTTTAAATGTTGTCGTGCTTTTAAGGCTGGATTTTCTATTTGTTAGAATTAAATCAATGCATCGTGGTTTAGATGATTTAAAAGGTTGGCTCTTTGACAATACTAGCAAAGTTGTAGCTATCCTTAAAATATTTTATATCACTGTCACATATTTCGCAGTTTAGGTCTCACTTACTTCGCAGTATACCAACTATAACAACTAACAGACAATCAAGATAAGATAACTCCTAGATAAGAAGTCACCTGTACACTACACTCGATATGAGAATTCTTCGTGTTTATCTCTTTGCCTCAATTTCAATACACCATCTGTTTGCTCTGAAGTTGCAAAGAAGCCTGGGAAGTGTACAGTCCTTACCGTAAGATCAAGACCAAAAATCAGTCAAGATACCAAACAATCAAAGGGAAGCGAGACTGCATCAACATTTTGCAAATAATTTGGGAATCGGAGTTGCAATTTTGAAATGACAATCCTCCACATACATGGCAACGTCAATAAACAATTCTGCTAAGATGTGTCAAAGCTCAAGAGAAAAATTACCTGCCAATATTTTTTATAAATCTAAAAATGTGGTCCAGCATTAGATCTAAAGTTCTAAAATTCTTTCAGTTCTAAAAGCAAGCTTCCTTAGAGCAATTTGTCTATCACAGAAAAGCAATTCTATATAAAGAATATCTCAGGTTGGTAGTAAGAAATAGAATCCCTGCAGGATCTCTGTTTTTAAAAGCGCTTCAAGAACAGAGCATTGAAATAGAGGTGTGCTCTTTGTTGCTTGCCTAAGCTCTTAAAACGAGCACTTGTTTGTTAGTTAACTTTTTTCCCTGCCAATGTCATTTACGCGGAAAATCGTATCTTTCTTTCTATTCACAGGAGATCAACTACGTTAATAAGCATACACTGAGCAGAATCATACAGTTGAATACAGGGTATAATGATCCCCCAAGCAATGTCTTCTTTGCAAGTGACTTCTGCAGAACAGTGGTTGGTCACCAGTGTGTCAAGAAACGGCCTTCGAAGTGCCGAAACCGCTCGTATCATAAATGAAGCATGACTTACTAAAGAATGATAATCTAATCAAAATAACATCAGCGAAAAGAAACTTCCAAGTAGTTATGAAGCTATCTCGAAGTAATATAAATGTTTTCTTTCACAAATTATCATTCATTTAGCTTTTCTATTTTTATAATAATATATGCTGGTATAAAAATCAAGGGTTTTGTAATTAAATGGCAGCATTTAAATACAAGTTTCGTTGTAATGCTCTCATGAAATGCCCGAATTAAACATGAGTTTTTTTGTTCCTTGAATGGCCTGACCTTCTTCATCCAAAAGAGCTTTTCTTTAAATGAGTGAAGCTCTGCAATATTCAAAATGAGGTTGTTTTGTGGCAGATCTATGCAGCTAATTACGTGATAAATGAGCCTTCAAAGGTTCCCTTTAACAAGGCTTCTAAAACCCGCAGAGTTTTTATACGTTGTTTGCTGTCTTTTGTTTTGAGTTTTTATACGTTGTTAGAAAAACCAATAAAAAATCGTTCTCTTTGCAAAATTTTTTCCGGTAGTATACTTGGACAAATAAGCGAAATTTGTCAAAACGTCCCTCTAACAAGGCCTTCAAAACCCCCAACGTTTTTATACGTTTTTGCTGTCTTTCGTTATAAGTTTTTATACGTTGTTAGAAATCCAGAAAATTTGCTTTCTTCGCAAAAATGGTTAAAATGAATTTTCTGACTTGTTTACCAGTTTAAACTCTACAATTGCTAGTGAGGGCTCATCAAACGTCGTTTTTACTGGGCTTGCGTGGAAATAATTCTTCGTATGCTCCTTCATTACTTAGGCGACTTTTCTTCACGCGGGTCACCAGTGCTCTTACGCATATATAACGCGGGTCACCAGTGCTCTTATGCATATATAATGCGGGTCACCAGTGCACTTACGCATCACAATTTAACTGATGATAATTATGGAACCTTTTAAAAAACCATTTCATAACATATTTCTTGAGCAAAATAGTGATATAATCATACACTCTTCGATTCCTAGAAGTCATTGGTATTAGAAGATTTCCAATGTGTACCTTTTTGTTTATCTATCGTTTCACTTATAAACTATTGCTATGTAGCAAAGAATGGTGATTTGAACAAAGTCTGTGCAGTTACAAATTTAGCATCTTGATATTTATATTTGAAATGTTTGTTTAGTAAATCAAAAAATTCGCGCTAGTTGTTTGCGCTAAACATATTGTTACGTCATGCATGTCCAAGTGACATGACCGGGATCCAACGCCAAAAGACCATCAAGGGCAAAAAGACAGTATCTTAACTACAGATTTATCTTTTTTGACTGGAAAAGTTATCGGTTAGATTCTTGTTGTTCACATTCAGACAAATGAAACTTAAGACGGCACGAAGCCAGAACCGATCTGATCCAGAATCCCATGGAACTTGAACATAACCCAAACTGCATCATAAACAAAGTATCCAGTAAGTAAACATAGGTAAGTCAGATTTGCAATTCACTTGCCATAAGGAAAGCTTATAATAAACAGTCTTAGAGTATTATGTCAAAAAAGAAAAAATCTAGAAGATCTTGAAGGCATGACTTTATCGGCGCCGTAACTTCAAGCTTACACTGTGGACAAGAATCTCGTAATTCTATCGTCACTCCAAAGCCCGCCTCTTTTGAGTCATCAAGATCTAATAATTGCAAAGCTTTTAGTTTCCTAATTAGCTAGATCGCTCTTCAAGTGACACAATTATACTGGACCAATCAGATTTGAAGACACTAGTTTAGTGCTTTCTTTAAAGTAGTCGAGAATATTGCATATTAGAATTAATTTGCCGGCGAGTCAGTTGCTTTATATAAAGAAACAACATTGCTGTCGTTTAAACCTTTACGAAGATATCTAAGTTGCTAGATAACGAATTGAATTTGGAATAGTGATATTTTGAGCTCATTCCCTGAATGAATAATGATTTGCTTTCAAAACCTTATCTTATTGAGAAAGAGGAGACAGATTTTAACCACATTAAATTTGAAAGCTAAAAGACTTAGAACGATTCGTAAATCTTGTAGTTAAACCAGCCTATTGTTTACATTGATTTGCTTCCAATCCAATATAAAAGTGACATTTTAAATAGGAATTAATCACATCAAGTACACCTGACAACTTGTGGCAGGGCTTCCACTACAAAACAATTGATTTGAAACGTGTTTTCCTCATCTTTTAAATTTTCTGCAGATTTCGATGGCACTTTGGTCAACATCGCCTTTTTATAAATAACTTGGCGGTGATTGGCCATTCATTTGAAACATCATTTTGAGAAAAGCTAACCACATAAGAGCTTCTAATGCTACGTTATCCAAGTGCTATTCCCATTATCTAATAATTACCATGCAATCATTATATCTTAGCAGTGGGTAACATGGTTGAATTTTCAATGAGTTAAACGATTTCTTGATATCGATCTCCAGTTCAGCCTCTCAAACTTAAGCCTGTAATCTTATCTACTTAAGATGTAGGCAAATGGATTTCAAAAAGAGCAATTGGCCCTCAAACGTAATGGTAATTTCAGTCATTGCCATCGATAATCATTGCACAACAAGACAATAATGCGCCCATAGGCCAGGTGAAGGAGCTTCCATGACAGAGAGAAGATATCACACTAGCCAACATGAACTGTGTTATGACCGACACGTGCACAGAATGCAGGGCTATTTTTGTCTGCTCAGGTCGTTGTAGCCTCAACTTCTCCAGCCATTTAGAAGCAAATTGTCTCGATAAGCGAGAGATCTTTCAAAGACAGCGTGCAGGTGCTAAGCCGCACCCAACTCCTTTTGGTATCAAACATATTCTTGGCCTCGCAGATGTCGATAATCCTCGTAAGCGAGAATCTAAAAAGCAAAGTGTACCAGATGGTATGAATAATCATAAAAATACATGTTTTTCGTCTACTCTTGAGTGGTTTCAACATGTTTTTTGCTTTAAGTGCACATATGTAATTCTTATTTCATCATGAGGCACAAATTGATTCTTTATTAAATTTGCTTTTTGTCCCAAGCATTTTTCTACACGTGATTTATGATAATCAGGAAAAATCATTTCACTTCATTCAAACGATTATGTACTTGCACGTCATTTCTATAAGATGTATAGGCAAACAAGATGAATAAAAGTATCTTAGAAGTGCATCGTGTTATGAAGTTGATAAATACTTATTGATCATTCATTCACTGTTAATAAACTGTAAGAATTCACTGTGGGAACTATAAATAAAGTGCTTCAACTCAGAATGAGTATGTTTTGATAGAATATGTTTATGATAGTCTGCACCATAGAAACTTTTACTGCTGTGACGAAAATCTGTCGTGATTTTTTTCTATAACTTAAAATTAATTTAGGAAATCTTATACGTTTACTTCTCGACAACATCAAATGGATTTCAAATTATCTACCACATGCATATGATGATGATTTTGGACCACCAGCTGCATAGTGGTTCTAAAAGTATGGCACGTGTTTTTCACAACTTTTAATCAACAACATTCTCATATCACCAATTATGGGTATCAGCTATGAATAATGACGCAATTCAACACAGTATCTTAGCCAAAACAATTCAAAATGGATAGCCAACTTATTCAAGGCTTCATAATTTCGCAATCTAACAAAACTGCTTGCGTACTTACTTGCTTGTAAATGATTTCGCAATGATACATACCAAAAAAGTAAAGTGAAGCTACAGTTATAAATCTGTTACTAATAGTGTAGTTTTTTCAAACTCAAGACATCTATCGTCCTTATTAGCAACTCGTCAAAACATGGCAAAAACAAAGTTTAGCTGCACTAAAGTACTAAAGTTAACGCCAAAAGTCTTGGATTAGAAACATCAGTCTAAAAGTATGTATGCAGACACCCATTTTCCTTTAGAACCACTTGTGTGTGCTAAAAAATGGCAAAGGTGGCATATGGTTACCTGAATAATTAACGTTGTCAAGATGAGGGAAGGAGAGTAAAAGTTGCAATTTATAGAAATGAAAAGAAAAGTACTAAAACAAGACTCGTGTTGTTAGGTGTTTTAACATATTATGAAAAGTAATCTAAAGTTGTCAATAATAAATAAAGATGGCTGAAAATGGAAAGTTGAAGTACTTGAGAAACTTTAGAACTTAATATCTCACTATGTGACACCCAATAACAGTTATGTGACAGACATTGCCTCTCTGTGTGAAGAAATTATTTATGTAATAAGATTTTCAAGACAAAGGCATATTGATCCAGCCCTTACATCCTAATATTTCATTAAACAATCGTAATGAAAAATTGTTTATAGTTGAAATTGTTTTTTGGTCATTCTGGAGTGTTGAGTTGCTTTTCTAGTCCTTTGTAAGATTATTATCAAAAGAGTTATTTTTTGACTAAGCTTACATGTTGTATATTTTTGTCCTTATTAGTAATGGGCTGTCAGTTGTATTTGTGTAATTGTGTTCATATGTGATGCTGACAAACTAAACTTAAACAAAGCAACATGGTTTTCAAAATGTGAAGTGCATTTCATCTGTCTTTAAAACATGCACTGTGGCCCAGTCACTCCATCAAAACTGATTTTTAGTAGGCCATGTTAGACGTTAATAGCGAATCAATGGAATGCTAAGCTTCTTTTTAGAAGGCAATCAGTATATTGGTAGATAGATAGATAGAATTGTCTTTAATGTCGTAGAGAATTCATAAATCTTTTCTTCAAGGTGCTAACGAAAGGTGCCCATTTAATGTTGGTATTAGCTTGAATCCACGACCCATAGTTCAACGAATAATATAGCCTCTTGTCCAGTGTTAGTTTTCTGCATGGGCAGCGAATGATCAGTTTTTGTATTTATCAGTTTTTAACATACCAAGAGGAACAACAGTTTTAGTTGGGATACTTTCCTTTGAATTCGTGAAAGGATGATGAACGCAAAAGTTCCTCTGTAATCTTCCTGCTTATAATTATCATTGGTGCATCTTGTTTTAGATGCTAGATTTGTTAGTTTATATAAGATATATGCCACACTTGCGTATCATAGAATTGTTTGATATCTTGTGATATTGACAGAGCAAGGATTGAAACAAAGATGGTGAGCAATAACGTAACCAGAGCCGGTGCACCCGTGAAAATTCTATCAGGTTTTTCATAAATCAGTTTGATAGGATAAACTACGATAACACTTACTTACCCTATCTGTTGTCATTCTTTTAAAGCAAAAAAACATATAAAAGAATTCGTAAGAAGTTTTATCAAAGAGGAACCCAAGTGAAGTTTTAAACAGAACCTTAATCTTGTCTCAAATCAAACTGTTTTGGTCAAGATCTAAGACGACAGGATCTAAAAACAGTATCTATTTTGCATTCTAGAACAGAGCAACACAGATGTAAAAAGGCATAATTGTAATCAAGAGCTGAAGGACACAAAGTGGAACAAAAATTTGTCAAAAAGTCAAAAGAAGTCAAGAACTACATTTACTGGCAAACAGCTTTATCAACTAGAAAGAAAATTCTCAACTGCGAAGTATTTGTCGAGAATTGAGCGACAAGAACTTGCAATGAATTTGAATATCACCCATGTACAAGTGAAGACTTGGTTTCAAAATCGAAGAACAAAAT